GTAACAGGAGTTGACAGACTGCCGTAGGGTGTGAAATTTCTATATTTTTTTCAAAGACCTATAATTTTCAAAACACATACATAAAAATTTTTTAAATATTTTTCTGATAGCTGTTATGACTTTGCCTATCACCCGGTTTTGGCTTGACGTGGACTTCTGGGACACCCTGTATATACTTCCAACCCCGATAATGCCACGCGCCTGTTAGACATAGTTTACACATCACAGATTGTCCCGTACATTTGCCCTCAAAACCTAGAACGATAGAAAAATCTTTTCGACAAGCGTCTCTGCATCGGCTGACTAACGGCCGCGGTCAGCGTGCCGGTGTTCGTACATGTCCTGCTTCACTGGCGCTCTGTGGGCGCTCTGCCGCATGAGGCCCATCATGCTTTTAGATATTGCGGAAAGACGACGACGTGACTTTGCCAGATGAACGGTACTATGGGTAGGGCAAGGAGAGAGTGTCATGGACTAATTGTACGGACCTGTTTGACGGACATGATGCGTTTAATTTCTCTGTTATACGAGATTTGTCCGGAAAATACGAATAAAAGTGGAATAATAACTTTATTTTCAGGTATTTCAATACGTTATCCTTCCAAGTACTGCCCCTGAGACAAGATGCACTTCTGCTAACGCGGTTTCCATTGTGGATACGGTCGATAAAAGTCTTCAATTGTGAGGCTCTTCATTTGCCGTGTCGTTTCTGATTTGATGGCTTCCTCATCCCCAAGTGCCGCCCCCGAAGCACTATTTTGCATTTTGAGAACAGGAAGAAGTCGCAAGTGGCTAAATTGGGTGAATAGGGCGGGTGTTCTGTCACGATGATTGAGCTTCGCGTTGTCGTGATGACGGATCCACCTGCCTCCTCTTGCCAAATCTGGTCAAACTCGGGCCACACGAGCTGTGAGACAACGTAAAACTTAATGTAAAAATGTCCGTTCACTGCTTGGCCGGGAGGGACAAATTCCTGGTGAACAATGCCTCGAGAATCAAAGAAAACAATCAACATTGTGTTCACGTTGGACCTTGATTTATTCGACTTTTTTGTTCTCGGTTCCCCTGCTTGCTTCCACTCCATGCTTTGAGATCAAGCTCCACATCGAATTCGAATAACCAAGACTCGTATCCAGTGATGACCCGGTTGAGAAATTACCGCCTTTCCTCTGCTTCCAACCAATCCCCACAGCAAGCAACCCTCTTTGCTTTCTGTGTTGGAGTCAAGTGCTTCGGCACGGTTCGCACACAATGTTTTCTGTTAAAAATTCATGGAGGATTGTTTTGGAGATTTATAGTAACTGTCAAACGACGCTCTTTAAGAACACAGCCCGGAATTCGTTAAACATTTCCCTTAGAGCTCGATGTGGAGGGGCGTCCTGAGCGTTGGTCATCTTTCACATATTCTCGGCCTTCCGGAAACCTTTTCAACCACTTGTTGACGGTTGTTTCCTTCGGATAATTGTCTCCGTTAACTTGTTCCAAACACTCAAAAATTTCACGACCATTCTTGTCTAGCTTTGCAAGAAACTTGATGTTGATGCGTTGTTCCTCGATCAGAGAGAGCTCCATGCCAACGGCAGGTAAAAAAAAGGGTTACTTTTAAGAAGCACACGTAAATCCTATTTACTTGTACTGGCAGAGCGCTCCGATTCGAACTGAGCATAGAAAGACGGAACCACCGGGCCATCCCTCCACAACGCCTTGACACGACGCCCCGAATTTTTTGTACGTATTTATAAGGTCTAACTTGAACATGCTACTTTCGCCTGTCCAACCAAAGACAGCCAACCACAGACAGTTTCGTGCTTTTTTAGCAACTCATCAGCATATAATAATAATAATAATAAATCGTCTTTATTTATAAATTTACATAGTATCGGGCGAAGTTTAGCTAAATAGCTACTCTTCCACTTAACCCTATTAATTTTATGGTTGTGAACCAATGTAAATACATGTAATTAACATGTATATATATACAGTGGCTAACCAAAGGAAAACAAAAATATTGTAAGACATAATACAGAAAATATAAACAGATTCAGCAACACGTCAAATAAAATTTTTCTGGCGGTTACTAATCTAAACTACAAACTACTACTTAATTACTACTACGAGTCATTTTTGATAGCAAATGCTGCTTGACACAAACTTTAAATTTAGTTTGAGATAAATTTTTGAATGCATTAGGTAGCACGTTATACAGTTTGACACAATTATACCTAAAAGAGCGAGTAAATAAAGCCGTACGGTGCCGTGGAATATCTAATAATTTGCCATACCTGAGCATGCGATCTCTAACAGATTGCCTGAAAACAATTTTTTGAAGAGGTATTCGGGAGTTCCCGTGATAATCAAATTATGAATGAACTTCAAGATAAGATACTCGTAAGAGCTATTAATATCTAACCATTTTAAACTACGAATACAGTGTGAAACATGGTCATATTTTCTTAAACCGTAGATGAGGCGACAGCACGAATTTTGAATCAGTTGAAGTCTGCGAATTGAGACTTGATCTAAGTAAGGATAGAAAACTATAAGGCAGTAGTTGATTTTTGAGAGAACTAGGCTTTCACAAAGATGTTTTTTCAATTTGAAACTGATGAAATGCCTATTAACAAACGTAAATCCTTGTCAAGTAAGACACCCAAATTTTTGCAAGATCCTCATAAACTAAAGAAGTGTCATTAATCCGTACTGTCGTGTTATTTCTGATATTAATGATTTTGTTTTTTGGTGCAAAGATTTAGAGGCATTTATCGTTAAGGAGCTATGCTTGGAAAAACTAACAATAGTGGCTAAGTCACAATTCAACTGGTCAACAGCTGCTACACAGTCATCTGGATCAAAAGTTTTACATATTTGTGTATCATCCGCAAAAATCATCACTTCAGAGGAGCGTATCAGTTTACACATGTCTGATATGTAAATGGAGAACAATAGCGGTCCTAAAACAGAGCCTTGAGGGACCCCTGATATCATATTCTTATATGTCGAATATGAGTTGTCCAAATGTACCCTTTGCATACGATTCATGAGATAACTAGTAATGAACTTGATAGATGCTTGAGAAAATCCAATATATTTGCATTCTGAGATCAAAAACGAATGATTGATAGTGTCAAAAGCCTTGGAGAAGTCAAGCAGTACAAGAGCCGCTGGTTGACCCCGATCCAAAGCCTCAACAATATCATCAGTCAGCTTAAGCAGGGCAGTGGTGGTGTTATTCCCTACTTTGAAACCAGACTGGTTTTTTGGAATTATGTTATTCTCAGAGCAGTACTCTTTCAATTGATCATGTACTATCCTTTCCAATATTTTTGATAGAATCGGAAGTAAACTTGGGCGCAGGTCGGAATAAGCTGAAGGCTTATTAGTTTTTGCCAAGGGAACAATTACTGCTTGCTTCCATGCAGAGGGAAAATAGTGAAGTTCCAAACAAGAATTAATCAAATGCGTTAAATATTTGCCAATCACAGGAAGACACAGTTTTATCATATTAGGCGTAATACCATCATGCCCACAGGCATTAGATTTTATTTTAAATAAATGCGAACATATATCTTCGTCAGTGGTCATGACCAGATCAAATTTGAGCGATTCATGAAGTATGTTATTATCATAAAATTCTATTTCACTAGCACAGTGCTGAGTATTATCTTCAAAAACAGATAAAAAATAATCATTTATCTGCGTTGCGTTACGTAAACTAACAGGTATGTGGTTACGCTTCTTAGTCTGGATGTTCAAATTCCTTATACCCTTATATAAAGAAGATGAATTATTAGTTTCTTGTAAGTGCTGAAGATAACCAGCCTTTTCTCTACGCTGTGATGCAAGAGCATAATTTCTCAGTTCTGTGTATTCTGTCCAGTTCTGATTTGTCCTATTGTGTTTGTATTTTATTAAAGCTGCATCCCTCTGCTTGAAAATAGCTCTTAAGTTTTGCGCTAACCATGGAGCAAAGGGCTTGCTTACCCTCGCTGTACGCAACGGTGCATGTACGTATATATCAAACAAAGAAATTATAAGATCATTTAGAAATTCCACTTTGTCATCAATGTCTCGAATACAAATAATATCATTCCAGTTTATACTCAGTAAGTCGGCCATAAAGTTGTCATGATCAAAATTTTTGAAATCACGGTAAGTGACAATTTTTTGTGGGGTCTGACGTTTATCAAAAGATGCTTCACAGTAAACCAACCTATGATCGGTGAAGACATCTACATTTAGTGTACCAATATTATGACACTGTTCAGGAAAATTTACAAAAATAGGATCTAGTAATGTAATAGAAGAAGAACAAATTCTTGTAGGCTCGTCAATCAATTGTTTAAAAGAATATGAGTCGAAGCAAAGAGATATTTTGTTACTTAGATTTAGCAAATTGACATTTACATCACCCAATATGATAATATGGTCGTAAACAGTAGACAAATGCGATAAAAGTGTATCCAGAGTTTCAACTGCAGAATTGAGATTAGCCTTAGGAGGTCTGTACAACAATCCTAAGGCAACTGAGGACGACTTGAATTGAAGTTTCAACCAAAATTGTTCAATTACTGATGGATCATCTCCAATATAATCAGTTATAGAAATATGTTCACACTTTATATCATCATTTATATACACACCTATTCCGCCACCCGCTACTGTCTCTATCCTTCCTATGAAATGTATAACCATCCATAGACAAAGTATCTGAAGGAACCATCTCAGTGAGCCATGTTTCAGTGAGGGCAAATACATCAAATTTTTTTTCTTTGATGAGAACCGACAGGTCAGTGAATGAAGGTACAAGCGAACGAATATTGACATGTCCAAATTTCACTGAGCTTACCTTAACCATAATCGATCCTACTTTTTAATTTAGAGATGTACCTTAAGTACATAGGGCAAGTCATATCCCTTGCTGAATGGTCCACTGCAATGTTTTCCTTCTTCCAATTATTATAATTAATACAGCTACTACATGATCTATTTGTAGATTTACATTATTTTAAGCAATGATTTCCGGAACAAGAAGGGTACCTAGCAGATGCATATCTGCACTGCTTATCAGTATGACCAAACACTGAGCACTTATAGCATTGCACAATTTGAAGATGATCGGTAACTGCACATCTCTTCCAACCGATATAGACGTATTCTTGCACCATTACTTTTTTCCGGACCTCCGGAGAAACCTCTAAGATGAGGTCACAGCCATTCCGCATTTTTAATTTGGTGATCACTTTTATATCCGAAGAATTGAAGGTATCCAAGTTGTTTTGACAAAATAGGCTACCTATTATTTGATCGTCACTGTTTAGATCCTCTGTTATTTCAACATTCTTCACACGAATGCGTGGTTTATGTTTTTTGCCTCATCGACAACGTATTCGTCTCCTAACTGGGTTTGTAGAACGTTTTTGAATTTGTCCAAATTTGATTTTTTGTTGCAAATGACGGCAACACCATTATTTATCCTTTCCTTGTACTATTTATATAGACTTCCAAATTGGCAGGGTTTACTACTTGAGCCATTCCTTTGAAAATATCCTCAGAATTTCTTTCAGAAGATTTTACCAGCAACACAGATGAGTCATTGTTGGTATACAATGGCTTTGTACGTTTTTTGCAGCATTCCACTATTACTCGATGACGTTTTTGTCGCATTCAGCTCCTTTTCGTACACATCAATTTTAAATTTCTGCAACTGTGATGCATTCTCTAATTCCGTTACCAATTTTTCAAGTATGCATTTTTCGCGTTGTAGACATTCAATTTCCTTTTGTTTTAGACATTCACTTTTTAGCTTGTTTTTCTCAGCTTGTCCACCATTGTCGTCAACACATGCTCCATCTTCTGCATTTTTACACATATCACAAATCCAAGCAAAATTATTAGATTTAGACAAAATTTTCAGGGCATCGTCCTTCACTGACACGCACTGACTATGGTAACTCTTTTTGCATTTTTTGCAGCACACTAACTTACTATTCACGATAAAATTATCGGAGCAACGCTCACATACATGTACGTCATCCGCCATCTTTCGCGCAATATATTGTGCCGGTTTCGAAAATTTTATAAATTTTGAAAACCTGTGATGACAACTTTACGTTCCTGAGGAAGCATTATTGTGTGTTAAAAATCCAAGGAGACATCGCTCCTCAAACGGCAATCAATCCTCAAGGAATGCCCATAAACGTGACTCTCAACTGAACGAATATACAATTCTTGGATGTATCGCAATTATATTAAAAAAGTCGCTTCTTTCGATTTGTATGTCTGTTTGTCCGGTAATACAAAAACGTGATATATCAAAAGCATTTGAGATTACACAGTTTTCCTCGCTACCGTATCCGAGCGGAGATGAAGACGTAGAACTTCTATCAATGCTCTATCAATTTACCGACAATTCCCACAAGACGCCTCTTGAAAACACAAATATCTTTTCGATTATCTCTACAATGTACCCACAAATACTTCCGCGCTGTGACGACTCTCAAGATGGCCGATCGCAATAAAATTCGTTAATATCTCAATTCCTTGCCGAGACGATCCCTCTTTTATTGACATGACAACTAGAGTAAATAGAACGGCGAATAGAAGGTTGCAATCTTTCTTGCGATATTGACTGGAAATGAATTGGAAATGAGATTCGGTAGGGGAGACGAACACTTGAGCGATGCTAGGTAGGGGTGACGCGTCGTAGTGACGGGAATGCAACATAAGGGCGATAGAGCGTAGGAATTGGAATTATCGCACTCTGTGCCGAACTTTATGTAATGGCCATCCAATCACTATTTGTAGCGTAATCGAGGATGAGGTTTAATCTCGGTTTTATGGGAGTGTTTCGAACTCCGACGGTTTGATAGGACAAATCATTTGGAAGACATTTCAGGACCCAACTTCTTGTCAATATAATGAATGCTCCACCTCGAATTATTGGCATAGTTATTTAGGAAACGAAACAGGTGTTTTTTTTTCGTTTTTAATTGCGAGGCTATGGGAGAATTTCACCAACATTAATATTTATAATTTCATAAGCTGTCAAAACTCTCTGAATATCAGTGATTTCTATTGAAATGTTGAATAAGTCGTGAAAAAACGGTTGCCTTATAAATAAGGGTACATTATAGATGTAATATTATATCTTTGTGCTTTAGAATTAGGATAACTTTCATAGAATTTCAAATTCTTATCATTATAGAAAAGATGGTCAGTTATTTCAATGGACCAATGAAAATGAGAGAAATAATAGGTCGATTTTCTAGCTATTATATTTGGTAGGATGATTTCACTGTTTTTGACGACTGTTCATGCATGGCAATCTAGTTTTGTCTGTAGATCACGTACAGGGTGTTGTACATAATACGTACCATACGTACCTGTATAACGGTACCGATTTTTATTTTGCAAAAAAATGATATAAAACGTATTCCAACTAGTTCATAATTTTTTGTTACATCAAAAACAATTTTTGTCAATTTATGATCTAGAAATCCACACCAAATGTAAACAAACAGCACATTCTGCATTTCTGGGTCCTAGAACATCCATATTTGTAAAAGTATCCGCATCCACCTATTATTCATCGTTATTTTATCAGTCAGAATCAAAAATACCTATTTATGAAAATATATCTCCAAACATTGTTATATTTTCTTATTATTTCTATTATTATAACACGTCTGGGATATCAATTGCTTTTGAAGTGATCTGCACATCTGCAGTATTGCCGAACCGGCAAAAAAAACGGAATCGGTAAATAGTGTCGTTGAATTCGGTATAAGGTTAATGCCGTCCCAAGACCAGTGGTAGATCAAGGACCTTTGAGTCATGAAAAACGTCTGTTATTGTATGGGGCGCGCACACAACATGTTTTTTGAGGGCGTAGATCTACAACTTCTACAATGTGCATACTGGTCGCTCTTTCAAAGTACTTTGCAACCATTCTGGAAACTCCTTTTTCGATTCTTGCAGGATTGTGAATATTTTTCTGTTTTACCCCTGAGCTCATGAACTCACCTCTCATTTTATTTAAATATTTATTTTGAAAACAGACAGGTTTCAGTTTCTTTATTGCTTGTCCGGTGATGAGGTAATGACGGTAATCTACCAGTCTGTAACTTTTGTATGCACAAAAATCAATTCAGGGCAAGCGGAGTAAGGGATGAGGATGTGCGTTCGTAATCATGGGCAACCCAAATCTACGCCTCTCATGTGCCCGAATGCCTGAGTGTGTATGCATATGTATGATTGATATGGGGCATAAAACTATGAAGACTACATAAAATTAACTTTTAAGCTTTATTTTTGGTTTCAGCTCTTTTTCGACAAGTATAGAAATATTTAAATTATTTTGAAAAATCGTGGAGAATGATGTTATCGGTAAATATTCTCTTTTCGGTAAAAATACCGAAAAATCCGGTTCAAGTCCATGTATAGACAATCTGAAATTTGCAATATGAATTTATATTCTAAATTCTATGCATATTCGTCAATATTTCATTTGAAGCTTTCATGTGTCATAAGATTTTATCAAAATGTAAGATAGTAAAGGCAACACCGCACGCTGCAGCCCAGTTGACAAGTACGACAAGCTGTCAAGATTAGGGGTGTTTAGATCCATGAAAAGTATCGATATGTATCGATTCTTATCGTTTTAGGAAGTATCGATACTCTAAAATATTGGAATAAAATTATCGATATCCAGTGGAAGAAAACAAGGAAGAAAAGTAATCTGAAGTTAATCACTCTTTCTGACACAGTCCGGATCGAAAGATGTCGATACTCGTGAAATGTATCGATACACCCAAGTTTCGTATATAAAAATATCGATCCAAAATATCGGGTATGGGAAGTAAAAGTATCGTTACTTCTAAATATAGGATCGTATCGAACATCCCAACTGTCAAGATGTATAACCCGAGGTAGCGACGGAGCTATTTTGAGGCCTCATGGAAATAATTTTAAATTTTCATTTGCATTTTTTCAAGTGTTGTGCAACGGTTTTGGGAAAAATTCCACGTATAGTATTATAAAGCATAGGTATATTTCAACAGTTGGCGGAGCTTACTCGACTGGGACCAAGGGTTGACGGATCCCACACATGTGTCACTCGTTGGGGAGTTTTGAAATGTAATAATCAGCTGTGATTCAATTAATGTCTAATATAAATATAACCTAGAATGTGTACCCAGTGAAACAAGAAAGTTATTGCAAATTCTATTTTTTTGCAGGCTTTAAATTTGCCGGTAGATTTACGAGATATATTTGAGTATTTCTTAATCGCTGTAAATATAGTGTGGATGTTTGTTCAGAACAACAAAAAAATATTTGACTTTATGGATGTATGGATATAAAAAATCCTGAATGGTTTTTTGGGAATATGAATCGACGGTGCTATAATGGTACTGATGAACGGCAAGTAAATGAATGAATGAATGTTTGGAAACGAGCAATAAAATGAAATTTTTGGTAGAGCCTGTCATCAAGTAGGTGCTTAATGGCTATCTGCAAGAGGTTTATAGGAAAAAACACACAGTAGGTGATGTTGAATCAGTAAAATCGTATATCAATTGAAGAAAATAATATAAACATGAATAAATAATCGAAAATATCAAATAAAAACATGAATTTTATTAAAAAATCGAACACTTTTTTAAATTTTGACTAAATTATATGTAATTTCTTAATATTCAATAAGCTGATTACGTTTCAATGACAAGCTGTCGTCTCATACTTTGACAGTATTTTTTGTTTGCAACATTTCATAGCTATTGGTAGCTAAAATTTGTTGATTGGCACTTGAAGCTCATACGCTGTATTTGACGGACTGTGACCCTATAGGTGGAGAATAACGGACTGTTGATTTGACAATCCTGGTGAAATCTACCCTAAGAGAAGTATTGCAATTAGTATGTTTACTTGCTACGTCACTGGGCGTAATAGCGAAAAATTTCTAAAATATTCTCAATTGTTTTTTGGATCCTATATGACATGTACATCATGAAAAACCGTGTTACTCATTGCCATCCGTCTGTCTGTCTGTGTCTGTTCGCTAACCTTATGACATCCTATAACTTGAGAAGTACCGCTAGGATTTAGATAAAATTTCCACACAATGGTACTATTACGCCAAGGAACAAAAAGCGTTGTGGTTTTTAAAAATCGGTCCAGTGGCGACGGAAAAACAGGCCAAAAACGGAAAGAAAATAAAAACCAG